CGGTGAAGCCCAAAGCTGCCAAGCCCAAGGCGGCCAAGCCGAAAGCGGCGAAAGCGAAGAAGGCGGCGCCCAAGAAGTGAAGTGTTAAAGTGGAAATACTTAAACCCAACGGCTCTTTTAAGAGCCACCCACTATTGTCCGAAAAAGGGCTGATACACTCCGTTACGGAGCTCCGTGCCTGCAGCAGAGCTAACCACACGCCACTATCCGTGTGGGACGTTCGCCTGTGGAGTGGATGGTATACTAAGCTTCCGGCCGTGGTTATGCTACGACTTGGAAAAATAAAGTTTACATTCCCTGCGAAAACACTTTCTAAAGGCTGACTTTTTTTGAGCACCGCAAGAGGGTGTATATGTTAAAGGGACTGCTTAGGGAGGGTAACGCTCTGGGGCGCGGAGGTTTCTTTCGGTGCTTTAACCAACGCGGTTTCTAACAGCCTGCGATTGCCACACCTCTTAGTGACCGTCGCCGGGAACTGTCAGCACGGCTCCTCCACTTGCTTGGCAACGACCTTTCCGCTTGGCAGCGCTGTCGTGGGGCAGGTCTTAATTTCTGCGTGATTTCACCGACTTCCTTTTGAGAAGGAGTTTGCGGGGGCGGGAGGCGGGGTAGAGCTACCAGCGGTCCTCTTCCGCACCCTGCCGGCCTGGTGGCGCTGCAGCCGGAGCGGCAGGAGCTCCGCCGGGAGCGCGGATGCAGAGCGGAACGGAGCTTGGCAAGCAGCGCCCTAGATGGCGGAGCTCCGCCTGCGGCCGGTTCTGATTGGCTGCTGAGAGAAGCCGCAGCCTCTTATTGGACGATTAGAAATATTTCGAAAAGCCCGCGCTGCGGAAGGCTCACGGAGCGCTCCCCGCGCGGGCTCCGCGCTGGCCGGCGATCCCGATTCTACGTATGCCCGGGCAGCTCGTCATCCTAAAGCATCTACCCTGCCTTGGAGGGTTTCTCCTAGTCTTCCTGTCCTTCTGTTCCGATCTAGAAGACTGTTTCCCGTCTTCTCATACAGAAGGGAAAAAAATTTAGACTACCCGGTGACATCTATGCAGAAAAAGGGATTGGGGACTTCTATTTTCCCTCATTCTCACTTTTTTGTGTCGCAGGTGTATTAATGTATATATTGGAAGGTATACGAATTTATTTATGGTGGAACGTGTAGTATAATGCACCACATCTCTTATCTCTGCTCAGAAAAGCTTAATACTGCTTACATTTATTGGAGGAATACTTGAATGTTCGCACTTATTAAGTAATAGTTAACACATATGAGTTTGCTTGAAGCTGCAAAATATTCATCAAGGATTTCAGACAGATCTTTAATCATTGCAAGCTTTGATATTGCTTTTAAATTGTTTTTACCGTGTCTTAAATACATTTTCAAACAAGAGAAAAAAAAAAAGATCGAAGCACTACGGTGTTAAAGCTCTTTCAGAGAATATGTGGGTGGCTCTTAAAAGAGCCGTTTTGGTTATAGATTAAAGTCGTTTTACTTGGAGCTGGTGTACTTGGTGACAGCCTTGGTGCCCTCGGACACGGCATGCTTGGCCAGCTCACCCGGCAGCAGAAGCCGCACGGCTGTCTGGATCTCCCGCGAAGTGATGGTGGAGCGCTTGTTGTAGTGCGCCAGGCGAGAGGCCTCGCCAGCAATGCGCTCGAAGATGTCATTGACGAAGGAGTTCATGATGCCCATAGCCTTGGACGAGATGCCTGTATCAGGGTGCACCTGCTTCAGCACTTTGTACACGTAGATGGAGTAGCTCTCCTTGCGGCTCTTCTTGCGCTTCTTGTCGCCCTTCTTCTGTGTCTTGGTCACCGCCTTCTTGGAGCCCTTCTTGGGCGCGGGGGCAGATTTGGCCGGCTCAGGCATTTTAACACGACCCCTCCTCCTTTTCGGAACAAGGTCAGCAGCTAACGTGGCCGCAGCGCCCTCTATTTATAGGGCTGTTATGCAAATACAGCCCTCTAACTCGTACTATTCGATTGGGTCTTCGCGCACGGAGGTGTACCTTTGTCGCTGATTGGTCACAATACGATCCATCTTCTCATTGGTTATATAAGCAATGAGTGCTTCCAGCCAATCAGCAAGCGCTAATCCCGCCCAGGGAAGGGATAAAAGGGGAAGAGGGGTTGCGTCAGTATGAGTGTCTCGGTCTTGTGTTGGCGGAGGGGGCTGTAGTTTTTGAAGTGTGCGAAGCATGTCAGGGCGTGGGAAGCAGGGAGGTAAAGTCCGAGCAAAGGCCAAGTCGCGCTCGTCGCGGGCTGGGCTGCAGTTCCCCGTGGGCCGTGTGCACCGACTTCTCCGGAAAGGTAACTACGCGGAACGGGTAGGAGCTGGAGCGCCTGTTTACATGGCGGCCGTGCTGGAGTACCTGACAGCCGAGATCCTGGAGCTGGCGGGTAACGCGGCCCGCGACAACAAGAAGACGCGCATCATCCCCCGCCACCTGCAGCTGGCCATCCGCAACGACGAGGAGCTCAACAAGCTGCTGGGCAAGGTGACGATCGCGCAGGGTGGGGTGCTGCCCAACATCCAGGCCGTGCTGCTGCCCAAGAAGACCGAGAGTCATAAAGCTAAAAGCAAATAATTTCACAGAGTAAAGCGGCTCAGAGTTCTCACAGCATAACATTATAATCCAAAGGCTCTTTTCAGAGCCACCCACACAGTCAGAAAAGAGTTGTGTTGCTTTATTTACAAGTGTGCTGTGGTGTTAAGTGTTATGTGGTGCTTTTGTTAGGGAGCAAAACCCATGTTATGTGGCAATGCCCTATGAACTTTTGAGTCTTTCCTGAAAGGCGTGATATGCTTGCTCTCTTAACTCCTAATTCTTTTTAATGAAAGAACACTAATTATACTTGCAGTGATTTACTGATCCTTTTGTGTATTTTTTTTTGTAACAGGATATGAAAGCACTATTTCTTAATCTTGAATCTGCTCAACTTTCATGGCTTTACAAGCTACTTACGGTGTGAAATACAAGGGGGGTGAAAAGAGCTACACACCATAAAAATAAATAGAAAAGCATCCCAAACCTGTATAGCTACATCTAAGAATGAAGAAAGGCTTCCTTTGTAGGCCTTTGTTCTTTCAAAGATGTAAAAGTTTCCTGTGTCTTAAATTTATTTAGAAATACAATAAGAAAGGCTTTAGGGGAAATGTCTCATTTTGATCTGGACCACTAACCAGTCAGACCTGCATTGTAAAGCAACAATTGTAGCATCTTTCCATTCAAAAGAAACTCCTTGCAGTGCTTGTATATTCCTGGTTTAAGTGTGATTTTCAAACTTGCCGCTCTTAAATTCCTTCACTGTGTATATAGCTATTCCCCTTGTTACATCAGTTAGCAGTGGACAATATTATTTGAATTAATCTACATTGTTGGCACAAGTATCACACAAGAGCACAATGTTAAAGCTCTTTAGAGTCACTGTTATAAATTATGAGAAAGACTATCTAGCTGATTTCTCTTGCTAGGATGTTCCCAGAAGCTGCACCTGATGATCTGCAACACAATGCACAGAGGCCATAGCTTCAACCTGTGCAGCACCTCTGCCCTCCCCATACCCTGGGGAGAAGCAGGAA